GGGAAAATGAGATGGGAAGTCCTGAGACCTGAAGTCTGCGAAGAAGGCTTCACCTCCCTCCTTTCTCACGCGTTGCTTGCCTGGTAAGCCTCAAAAAGGGGTTATAAAGTTGAATTCCTCCAGTGAAGAGTTCCGCTCGCCTTCTTCCATTGCGGCTTGTGTTCCGCCTCGCCATCCTCGTCATCCTGCGGTGCAGACTCCAAGCAACATGTCGCAGGGTCTGCTTGTGCCTTCGACCATCGGGAACCGACCATCCCTAGAAACCCTCAGAGTCAATAGACCTAGCCGATTATTTGGGTCTGCTCACTGGTCGGCTCACTGTGACTCCTAAATTGCAGTTGGATGCCTTGGCGCCCTTCAAGATTTGCACGAGGTCTTTGTATGTTGATCCTCACCTCGTCATCTTCATCGATGGCGATGGATTTACAAAGGTTGCTCAGCAAGGGTCCAGAGCCATGTACCTCCGGCGTCCAGGCAGTTGAAAAATGTGGTTCTTCAGTTTTTAGCGGGAACCTCCGAAGAAACGGTTGTAAGATGCTATCTAGCCACACATGCAATCCCTTCAAACTGAAGTACCTGGTCAGCTACTTGACTTTGTGTCTGTTTTAGATTCTACGCGCATCTGTTCGGAAGGCCAAATGGTTGGCCTGTTGTGTCTCTAGAGCTGCCGGGACGAACATTCCAGCGTGGCACCATGCAGGACTTTCCAGCCATCTCCAGCTTGAACTGATCCTCAGCCCATCTCGATCAGTTCAAGCCTCACTTTCTCTATTTTGAAACATCTGGCCATTGAGTGGGCCAAAGATTGCCCTTGCAGGGACATGCAAATGCAAACAAACGAAGCAAAGCATGATCATCACCCGCGTCTGCAACTGACGTGGCCTATTGCCAAGTCCACATTCCCATCAGATGCTTCAACAGTCTGTCACATGGCCCGGACGAAAGCAACCGTGGTCACATTCCCGTCCATGTGAGCCTGCGCATGCGATCTTGGCAAAACAACTGCTTTCAAAGGTTACCCCCTGTCAAGTAGCACGAAGAGCGAATCAGGTGGGAACACACAAAATTAGAGGTCTTTCTGATATGCTGATACAAATCCCACTTTGGTTCCAGGATTTCGCAAGCTTTCAGCATACTCATTTCAACTAAGCCCCAAAGATCATGATAGAATCAGCTGAACACCATGACCTGGACCCAAGCATCTAAACACGAAGAGTCGGGTGATCTCCTTCCTCCTTTGTTCTCCCCACCGATGGACGTGAGGCCCTTCCTTCCGCGTTTTGGCCCTTCCTGTTCTCTGCCCCTCCGTGAGAAGCTTCCGGTTCTCCGCTCTTAGGACAGCCTCCAACCTAAGAGCGATGACCTCCAACCAAATAGTGATGGCCTCCAACCTAAGAGCGATGGCCTCCGACCTAAGAGCCGTGGCCTCCAACCTAAGAGCGATGACCTCCAACCTAAGAGCGATGGCCTCCAACCTAAGAGCGGTGGCCTCCAACCTAAGAGCGGTGGCCTCCAACCTAAGAGCGATGGCCTCCAACCTCAAAGCGATGCCCTCCAACCTAAGAGCGGTGGCCTCCAACCTAAGAGCGATGGCCTCCAACCTACGAGCGATGGCCTCCAACCTAAGAGCGGTGGCCTCCAACCTAAGAGCGGTGGCCTCCAACCTAAGAGCGATGGCCTCCAACCTACTAGCGATGGCCTCCAACCTAAGAGCGATGGCCTCCAACCTAAGAACGGTGGCCTCCAACCTAAGAGCGATGGCCTCCAACCTACTAGCGATGGCCTCCAACCTAAGAGCGGTGGCCTCCAACCTAAGAGCGGTGGCCTCCAACCTAAGAGCGATGGCCTCCAACCTAAGAGCGATAGCCTCCAACCTAAGAGCGATGGCCTCCAACCCAATACTGATGGCCCCCAACCTAAGAACGATGGCCTCCAACCTACGAACGATGGCCTCCAACCTAATAGCAATGGCCTCCAACCTAAGAGCGGTGGCCTCCAACCCAAGAGCGGTGGCCTCCAACCTAAGAGCGATGGCCTCCAACCTAAGAGCGATGGCCTCCAACCTAGAAGCGATGGCCTCCAACCTAATAGCAATGGCCTCCAACCTAATAGCAATAGCCTCCAACCCAAGAGTGATGGCCTCCAACCTAATCGGGATGGCCTCCAACCTAAGAACGCTGGCCTCCATCCTAACCGCGATGGCCTCCAACCTAAGAACAACGTCCTCCAACCTAATTGCGATGGCCTCCAACCTAAGAGCCATGGCATCCAACTTAAGAACGATGGCCTCCAACCTAATCGCGATGGCCTCCAACCTAATCGCGATGGCCTCCAACCTAGTAGCGATGGCCTCCAACCTAATTGCGATGGCCTCCAACCTAGTAGCGATGGCCTCCAACCTAATTGCGAGGGCCTCCAACCTAAGAACGATGGTCACGGTTGTATTCGGAAACTCGACGGTTGTATTCGGAAACTCGGCGGTTGTATTCGGAAACTCGACGGTTGTATTCGGAAACTGGAATGGTTGTATTCGGAAACTCGACGGTTGTTGTATTTGGAAACTGGCCGCTTGGATTCGGAAACTCGACAATGCCACCGGCCTCAACAATGCACGGAAGCTTACTGCCCCAGCCCCACACCCCCCCACCTCCCCCCCCCACCCCACCCTAACCCACGAAAGCATTGGTCCACACAACCACCTACGGAAGCTTACTGCCCCAGCCCCACCCCCCCCACCCCACCCTGAATACAAGAGAACGCATCAACTGACCACGCAGGTGGTTGTTCACATCGCCCCCTAGTTTGGGAATAAGAGTTTCTGAGCATGAGGGACAGTAGTTTCTGAATACGACGAAAAGAGTTTCTGAATACGACGAAAATAGTTTCTGAATACGACGAAAATAGTTTCTGAATACGACGAAATAGTTTCTGAATACGATGAAATAGTTTCTGAATACAACGAAATAGTTTCTGAATACAACGCAATAGTTTCTGAAGACCAGTTTCTGAATACAGTGCAGTTTCTGAATCCGACTTTGTTCTAAGAACGATGGCCTCCAACCTAATCGTGATGGCCTCCAACCTAATCGCGATGACCTGCAACCTAAGAACGATGG